CTACAGGCTGCGGACTCCCGCAGCTGTCTAGCCATCTTCACGGCTAGCTAGCTGTTAGCTAGCTAGATACCTAGCTACATAGCTAGCGGGCTAGCTACCCAGCTAGCTATTTAGCTAGCTAGCTGAATAGCTAGCGTTTTGGCTAGTCGGAGACCGAGCTAGCTAGCTAGGTAGCCAACTGGCTACTCAGCCTAGCTAGCGTTTTGGCTAGCTGGGAAACTGTTCGTACATCTAGAGTAGCTGCAGCATGACAACAATACCTATGAGAAGAAAGGAGGGTACAGCAACAGCTGCGGCGTCGTTAGAGGAGCCCTGGAGGTCTTTATCAGTCATTTCACTAAGAAGGGTGGTTCGTTCAATAACCGCATCGTAATACTCTTTGCTGCATCCGAAACAAAGCACGAAAAGAACAGAAGCATAATAAGCACTCTCTTGTCTGCATTCATCTACAAGAAAAACGATACATACATTCGCAAGATTGATATCTATAGCTGAACTACCTCCTACCTAAAAGGAGCTTTATTCTTCTCCGGTGAAGGGGACAACAAGCAGACCAGCATTGCATTTGTTGTTATATTGCTTTCTTCATTTTCGTCCGATATAATCTCCGTACATCTTCCAATTACACAGCCAATCTCTGTGCTGTTTCCCCAAAGAATATAAGACACCTGAGCCCCTGCCTCGTCAGCCCAGAGCGCTTCCCAGGTTGATGAAGAGTTTCCATAGGGTGATTTCTTCCTAAAGGTAGAAGTATATAAATTAAATCAATAAAAATAATGAACAACTATATTAAGCAGCTTAAATGAACAAACATAGAAATACATCAATGCTGAGAATGTGAGAAATATGTACAGAAACAAACAAGGAAATGCATTAACAGAAGGAAACCAACGAAGAAATGCATTCAGAACAAACAAACAGAGCAATGCATAAATAAAAGATAACAAAGAGAAATTCTTGAACAAACACGGAAATAAATGCATAAATAAACCGAGAAAGAATTAAGTAAATAAACAAAAAAACAAATGCATTAATAAACAAAGACATAAATGCGTTAAAATAGTTTGTTTCATAAGCCCTTCATTCACTTATGAATGACTATTGAATTCGCTTACCCACTGTTGCTTTTTCTTATAATTGGGCTCTATTTCTATAATATTCTTTTGGATATTTAAAAATAATATATATACATTTAATCTAAGTAAAAAAATGTAGAAGTTTCCCCAGAAAGCGTATTGAAGACGCACTTTAATGCTTCAATTCCATTGGTTAGTGCTGTTTGCATCATCTGGCGGTAGTCAACTGGTGTCTCTTTACCTTGAGGGAAATCGAATTGAACACTAAAAATGTTTTTCTGAATAAACAAAGATACAAAGAAAAAATAAAAATGTTTTCTTCCTCTTGTACGAATTTGTGGTTTCAACGAGAAATAAACAAAAATACAGACAAAACAAACAAACAGACGAAGAAACAATGAGCATATACCCAAGGGATCTTTCTATTCTTCTTCTAATATGAAGTTTTTAAGTTGATTTAATTAATTGAATTTATTTATTTTTGCAGTTTTTCTCACAAGTGCCTCGTGGACTTGCATATTTTCGCATGTATCCCCCGTAAGGTATTTGTTCATTGTTAGTTCTGTCGTTAGTGAAGCGACAATATCAAAATTTTCTTTAAGTTTATTAATACGAACAGGAAGTTTCCCAACTCTTGCCAAGTTAGCAGCAGTATAAGCTTCTGCAAGCAAATGAAAAGCAAAGAAACACTCAAGAGACCAAGCAAGATGCGTGCATGCTTCTCCAGTGATAATAGACCACTTTATTATCAACACAGCAGTCAGAAACAGCAGAAATAATCTATTAAAGAACTAATTTTCAATATTTATACCTTCATCAGCTCCCTCAACCGTAAACTTTATAGTGGTGCTTGCAGCAAAGGCCGACTGGAGCCCAGAGACCGCCAGCAGGGTAGCTGCTATCGCGAGGGACTTCGGCGCCATTTTGACACAAAAAAAGAAATAAAAATCACAAAAAAAGTTTAAAAAGAAAAATAATTTCAAATATAAAAAAGAAACAAAGAAAACTTCAAAAAAATAAGACAAAACCTCTGCCTGGTCGCTCCGAGTGTAGTTGACCGCCGCTGCAGAGCGGGGCCAGCGCATCGGCGAGAGAGCAGAGGAGAGGTAAATGCGCTTGAAATTCCAATCACTTAAATTTAGAAATATAAATTTAAACTAAAAATGAATATATACCTCCCCTGTTAATACTTCATTATGAAGAATATTCTGTTGAAGTATTAACAGAGGAGGTCCGGCGCTTGACAACACACTAGAGTCAACTCTCTCTCTACGAAGGGAGGCGACGCATCCATCGTAGACAAATTATGAATATAAACACATTAATAAACAATTAAAAATATAATTTAAAGTATAAATAATCAAGAAATGCTGCAAGGAAAAACAGTAAAGGCGTCTGATCCCTCCCCCCATCCTAGTTCACAGTTAGGAGAACCCAGCGTACCGGTCTTCTTGTTATTTACATGCAGACGCTATTAATCATTTGTATTTCTACGCAGATTAAAGACAGCTATTAAAAGTTAAAAAGATGTTAGTGGAATTGCTTACGGTGCCCGTGAATGCGGATAAGAGAAGGGGTTCACGAACAGTAGCTGCACGGTACTGAACAAGCCGAAGCTGTATATCTTCGTTCTCTTATTCTCTCTACATCTATATCTCTCTCATTCTCCTTCTTTATCCATCTCTCTCTTTATCTTTGTCTCACTCTCTCTCTGTTTCTTTATCTCTACTATCTCGCTGCCTCTCTGTCTTTCTCTGTCTCTCAGAAATAATTTGTTCGGAGAGTGTATAGAGAGCCACTGAAATCATCACTTAATTCCCAGTAAGAAGCCTATATTGTATAATATATATATTCGTATATACATATATATATATATACACAATATATACATGTATACATATATATATATATATATATATTATATATATATATATATGATTAATAATCCTTTATATGGAGCGAGACCTCAAAAAGAATATACAACTTTTGCATGCCAACGGAACAGACGAAGAAACATTTTCGTCAGCTGCAACACAACTTATTTCAACCGTTAATATGAGACCGCCCCCTGCATGCTTGCGTAAATGCATGCATGCATGCATGCCGCCTCAAGTGCCGCTGCATGCATGTATACTACATGAATGCATGCAAAACCGGGCTTCAAGTGCTGCATGAATGCATGCCTGCATGCACATCAAAGCCCCAAGTGCTGCATGCAATCCCATGCATTCATGCATGCATGAGAGCAGAACGAAGCCCCGAGGGCTGCATGCAAACCTTATGCATGCATGCATGCATGCATGCATGCATGCATATCAAAGCCCCGACGGTTGCATGCAGACGAACACGAAGATAAGAGTTGCGTGACCGCTGAGTTCGCTTTCTAGAGGCATGCAGCAGCAAAAAGAAATGAACTATAAGCATTTAAAAGGCTTCTTTTAACTCGCATACAAACCATTTCTATTTGCTTAAGCTTAACATCTACTTCAAACATCTGCTTCAAACAGAAGCTGTCTGTCTATACACTCACATACACACCTTATATTCCCTCCATAGACAAAAGTATGAAGCAAACCCAAAGAAATAACATGCAGCTCCTCCTTCACCTCGCCATATATATATATATATATATATATATATATATGATGGCGGCTGATTGTAGTTGTTTTGCATCATTCGTCTTGTTCAATTCGTTTTCTGGGTTAATATACTACAGAACGAGCGGAGCACACATATACATCTATATATATATATATATATGTATATATATATGCATATATATATATATATATATATATCATGAGCATATTTCTGTAACT